GCAGAAAGTGTGGTCCATATGAGATGGATCTTCTCACCTCAAGAAATCTGGATTAAAGGTGGATCTTCCCACCTCGAAAATCCAGGGGAAAGTGGGTCTTTCCATTTCAAATGGTTTAATTTTTAAAAATCCCTCAGAATTGCGCCCCAGCCATTTAAGTTCTAGTTAATTCAGGTGTAGTCAAGCTGACATCCACGTCATCACAGTAGCCTTGTGACTCAGACCCCAGCCTCGGAGGATATCTGGGGTGTTTCAGATGGTGTTGGGGTACTGAGGCCCATCACCCCAGCAGCTCAAAGCACCACAACTACACCATTATAGATTATTAATTATCGTAATACAGGCTCTGTGAGGTCTGTCTGTCCACATCTGTCCCTAGGGAAAGCTCAAAATGACATAGCGCCTCTCAGAAACATCCATCAAAGCCAGTGTGGGAAGCACGGCAGCAGGCAGGCAGACAGGGTGCTAGAGATGCAGCTGAGAGTTCTCCATCCGGACAGCAGCACTGGGAAGAAAGCGGCACTGGACCTGGCCTGAACATTCAAAACCCCAATGACACGCTTCCTCCAACAAGGCCACACCTCCTAATCCCTGTCAAGCAAGTAGCACCATTCCCTAATGATCAAGCATTCAAGTATATGAGCCTATGGAGACCATTCCTATTCAAGCCACCACAATGTTTTAAGAGAAGAAGTCTATAAATTCTAAAGCAGCAAAGGGTAAACGGAATAATAAGAAATCCAATCCACAGGAGAGGCGGAAAAGAATAGGTGCAAATATCAGGTAGCATTGCAGGAGTGATTCCTGTGTATTCGTGGTTACAATAAAAGCGAATGAGCTATGCTTTCTACCAAAAAGGCAGGGACTTTAGGATGGGGTTGGAGCTGAGTTCCTAGAATGATTGCCTAGCATGCATGAAGCCCTGGGTTCAATCCCCAGCCCTGTGTAAACCAGGTGTGGTGACACTTTCTTATAATCCCAGCACCTGGGAGGTGGAGGCGGGAGGATCAGGAGTTCCAGGTCTTCCTCGGGTACATAGAGAGTTTGATGAGCTTGCCCGAAACCCACAATCTTGCCTTCTTAAACTCATGGCAACCCTCCTGCCTCAGCTTCCCAAGTGCTGGGATGGCAGGCACCAGCACATGCTGCCGCTGGGGCCTCACTCTCTGGTATGGTTACCCCCCGTGCCTGGGTGCTGCCTAGCAAGGGTCTGTGTTAGTAACTTTTCTCAGGGTTATGACAGAATGTCTGACAGAAGCAACTTGAGGGAAGAAGGCTGTCTTCTGACTCACAGTTCCAGGGGACTCGGCCAACAGGCCAGCAAAGGCGTGGAGGCAGCGAGGCAGCTGGTCACACTGCACCAGCTGTTCAACTCAATCTCCCCGTTTTATTCAGTCCAGAACCCTCAGTCCACGGGATGGTGCCACCCAAGTTCAGGCCTTCCGAGTCTGTGGATCCAGGCTAGACACCCCATCACAGGCGTGCCCAGTCTTGTCTCCTAGGCCATTCTGGGTCCCGTTAAGTGACTATATTATGCATCACAGGGCCTTGCTCTCCCTGGTCTATTCACCCTCAGACCTGGCTCAGTCACCTAGGCCTTGCGCTGAATGCTGGGAGTGCAGACCTCATTGTCATGGTCTCTACACAAGACTCACAGTCCAGACAGGGACATGGTATGTCAAACCAGTGGCGGCCCAATATGATGGGGCTGCTGGTTAAAAAAAAAAAAAAAGTGTGATGGGTGGGATTACGTGGGAAGGGTGATCAAGCAGATCACCAAAGATGGCTTTCCTGGGAGCTCCAGAGCATGAAGAGGAGAGCATCTCAGGAGAAGGCCAAAAACCCAGAGCATGACCAGTGTGCCCCTGGTGTGACTGGAGCAGGAGAGGGTGCAGATAGTAGTGTGTGTGTGTATGTCTGTGTGTGTGTCTGTGTCTTTGTGTGTCTGTGTCTGTGTGTCTTTGTATCTGTGTGTCTCTTTGTGTGTCTGTGGTATGTGTCTTTGTGTGTGTTTGTGTCTGTGTGTCTGTGTCTCTGTGTGTGTATCTGTGGTCTGTGTGTGTGTGTGTGTCTGTGTTGTTTATGTGTCTGTGGTGTGTGTGTGTGTGTGTGTGTGTGCACATGCACACTGAGGTCAGAACTGCACTGTGGATAACTCTGGCCATCAATCAGAAGGGAAGATGTTGAGGAAGAAGCAGAAGCCAGAACACAGGACAGGTATTGATCATGATCTGCTGAGTTGAAAATTTAGAACCAGGCATTCCTGTAGGATTACAGTCACTATTTTATCAGACCAACTGAACATAGATCCTCACATGTGAAAGGCAAGTGTTCTGCCACTGAACTATGCACCCAGCTCCTCACCTAGGCACTCTAGACAAGAATCCTACCTCTGAGCCATATCCCAGTCCCTCACCGGGGATTCCAGGCTGGAACTCTATCACTGAGCCACACCCCTAGCCCCTCACTGGATTAAACATGATTAGGTCCAAGCTTCAGTATTTCCTGGTCTCTGGACCTGCCCTCTCTGACACACCCAGATGTGGGCTTTACCAATCTCCCAGCACCTCACAATCTAATCAACCTAACAGGATTAAACATCAATTGGGATTAGTGATTCTGGCACACACCTGTATGCCCAGCTACTCAGGAGGTCAAAACAGGAGGCTTGGCTCCTGGTTGGCCACAAAGCAAAACCCTGTCTCAAAAAACTCAAAAGTGTAAAGTTTAATCACCTACAGTTTTGCACACATAGAAAAGGAGAGTGAGACCTGGAGAGACAAAAAGACACCTGGACAGTTAAGAGCACTTGCTGCCCTTCCAGAGAACCTGGATTCAGTTCCCAGCATCTAGTTCCAAGAGATACGATATCCTCTTCTGGCCTCTGTGGGTACCACACTCATGGTGGACATACCCATACACAGGCAAACACTCATACACCCAAAACAAATATTTTTCTTAAAAGGAAGAAGAGAATGAATGGACGCATGTTGAACGGCTAACATGTCTGGACTCCTGTGTTTTCTGGACTTTTCTTTCCTTGCTATTTTTCCTTAAAAGAAGTATAAGATGACTCCCATCAATAGGAAATAGGTGTGTGAATGCTTGTTCTGTTTGTGGTTCTGACAGTACCAGCCAGGTCTGGTCCAGGGGACCAAATAGTGTGCCTTGAGGACCCTCTTCCCTCTACAGGCCCTCTGTCTGTCCCTCACACTTGAAATTTCAGTCCAGACTCCAGCCACTTAACCTACCATAGTAAGAGCTCTCAAGTTTTCTTCTTAAGGTCTATTGGGGGGGGGGTGCTGATATGGTATCACTGCATAGCCCAGAGTGGCCTCCAACTCACAATAATTCTCCTGCCTCAGACTCCTGAGTGCTAGGATTAATTATGAGCATGAGTCACCATGCTCTGCTCTCACCCCTTTCATACCTTTGTCCTAAAACCACAGCATGTCAAGGTGCCTGGGTCGCCCATTGTCCTTGTGGAATGTGGTTGTGGCTCAGTGGCACCAGTGTGGCTTTGTGATTAAATGTTCCTGGGAGCCCTTCAGCCCCTCAGCACCATGAAAGAGTGAGTGTCCCAAACAGGAGTTCCGAGAGGGGCTGATTTCAAACTCATTCTGTTGCCGAGAACAGCTGTGCTCTCACAAACCCAAAATCAATGTTCTGGTGGGCCACACACACCCATGGGGGACACAGCAAAGACATCCCCAAAGCAGGCAATCCTGACCTGAGCATGGAAAGGGTAGCAGACTTGACCATGAGAGAGAGCAGGAGTGTGCTTGGGAGCTGGGGGCGCTCGGAGGCAGGAGTGAGTGAGCCTGCAGTTCTGAGAGCCTGTTAGAACGGGAGATAAAGAGAGAGCATGGAGGAAGAAGGGAGGTGATGGCCTTGGAGGACGAGCTGCCTGCAGCCAGGACCGGACTCGTCTTGAGCTAGGGGGATCTTGAGCTAGGGTGCAGTAGGCAGAGCACCTGCCTGGCATGCAGAAAGCCCAGGCCTGCATGCCAGCCCCAGCACTGCCTCACAAACCCCATGTTAGTGAGCGCCCACTATCCCAACACCAGGTAGGCGGAGGCAGGAGGATTTGGAATTCAAGCCACCCATGGCTCCCTGTGTATTCAAAGCCAGCCTGGGCTACATGAGACCCTGTCTCAATGTTTTCAAAGTTTGTGTGGGACATCACTGTCCTGTCAACTAGCTGTGCAGCTTCTATGGGGTAGGAGAATACTGTGGCAAGCTGTGCGTGAAGTGACAGGGCTTGGGTCTAAACAACCTGGCAGGGAGGGGGAAGGGGCGGGGTGGGGGTGTCGGAGATGATGCCCTTCCGAGGGTGGTGCTGCAGTGATGGGTTAGTAGGCCAGGGCTCTAATCCCCAGGGTGGCCTGCCCTCCAAGCCCGTGGGAACAATAGTCAGAACGCTGCTGTGAAGAGAAGCCAGTACTCAGGAGGCTCCACAGCCTGAGAGCATGTTCATGGTCTCTTGCAAGCTAACTGCCCTCTTGAGGGATTTGACCCTTGACCATGGTCAGGTGACAGGCCCCATAGCCAGGAAAGGGGGCGGGGTGCAGAGACATTCCTGGGTTCATTACATCTGCAGCCTTGAATTCTTTATCTGTCCATCAAGACAGCCAACACGAGGGAGACAGGACCACCCAGCTCAGCACCCAGCAAACCACGTAGTGAGCCTCCTCTCCTCCTCTCCGAACCAGAGAGATTATAGGACTGTTAAAGGGTGAATGAGAGGCGTGTGTGGAAAGCATCACGGGCCACAGAAAAGGCGTAAGTCAAGCGTGGAGGCACAGGTCTGTCATCCCAAGCAGTCAGAAGCCTGAAGCACCCAGATCAAAAGTTTGCGGCCAGTCTCGGGTGCTTAATGAGACCCTGTCTCCAAACACAAAGTAAAACGACAGCTAGGGATGAAGGTTAGTGGTGAGCACCTGCCTAGAATCCCCCAGTGAGGGGCCGGGCATGGATCAGGCTAGATCAGCCATCTAGAATCCCCCAGTGAGGGGATGCGGCTCAGGCGTACAGCCCCTGCCCAGCGTGGGTCTTGCCCCTACCACCACATACTGATCGTTGAGTGTCATTCTCCTGCCGTGAACTGGAGAGTCCTGCTGCCCCCGGGCTTGTCAGGTGCACTGACGCTCGTGTCCCCGCAGGTGATCCGCACTGACACATTCAAGCACCTCCGGCACCTGGAGATCCTGCAGCTGAGCAAGAACCTGGTGCGCAAGATCGAGGTGGGGGCGTTCAATGGGCTGCCCAGCCTCAACACGCTGGAGCTCTTCGACAACCGGCTGACCACAGTGCCCACGCAGGCCTTCGAGTACCTGTCCAAGCTGCGGGAGCTCTGGCTTCGGAACAACCCCATCGAGAGCATCCCCTCGTACGCCTTCAACCGCGTGCCCTCGCTGCGCCGCCTGGACCTGGGCGAGCTCAAGCGGCTGGAGTACATCTCCGAGGCGGCCTTCGAGGGGCTGGTGAACCTGCGCTACCTCAACCTGGGCATGTGCAACCTGAAGGACATCCCCAACCTGACGGCGCTCGTGCGCCTGGAGGAGCTGGAGCTGTCGGGGAACCGGCTGGACCTAATCCGCCCTGGCTCTTTCCAGGGCCTCACCAGCCTGCGCAAGCTGTGGCTCATGCATGCCCAAGTGGCCACCATCGAGCGAAACGCCTTTGACGACCTCAAGTCGCTGGAGGAGCTGAACCTGTCCCACAACAACCTGATGTCGCTGCCACACGACCTCTTCACGCCCCTGCACCGCCTGGAGCGTGTCCACCTCAACCACAACCCCTGGCACTGCAACTGTGACGTGCTGTGGCTCAGCTGGTGGCTGAAGGAGACGGTGCCCAGCAACACCACGTGCTGCGCGCGCTGCCACGCCCCCGCCGGCCTCAAGGGGCGCTACATCGGCGAGCTGGACCAGTCCCACTTCACCTGCTACGCCCCGGTCATCGTGGAGCCGCCCACTGACCTCAACGTCACCGAGGGCATGGCGGCCGAGCTCAAGTGCCGCACGGGCACGTCCATGACGTCGGTCAACTGGCTGACGCCGAACGGCACGCTCATGACGCACGGCTCGTACCGCGTGCGCATCTCCGTGCTGCACGACGGCACGCTCAACTTCACCAACGTCACCGTGCAGGACACGGGCCAGTACACGTGCATGGTGACAAACTCGGCCGGCAACACCACTGCCTCGGCCACGCTTAACGTGTCAGCCGTGGACCCCGTGGCCGCAGGAGGGCCCGGGGGCGCGGGCCCCGGGGGCGGGGGCGGTGCCGGGGGCGCGGGCGGCTACACCTACTTCACCACGGTGACCGTGGAGACGCTGGAGACGCAGCCGGGAGAGGAGGCCCAGCAGCCCCGGGGCACCGAGAAGGAGCCCCCGGGGCCCACGACGGACGGCGCGTGGGGCGGCGGCCGGCCGGACGCTGCAGCCCCCGCCTCGGCGTCCACGACGGCGCCGGCCCCGCGCTCCTCGCGGCCCACGGAGAAGGCCTTCACGGTGCCCATCACGGACGTGACGGAGAACGCGCTGAAGGACCTAGACGACGTCATGAAGACCACCAAAATCATCATCGGCTGCTTCGTGGCCATCACCTTCATGGCCGCCGTGATGCTGGTGGCCTTCTACAAGCTGCGGAAGCAGCACCAGCTGCACAAGCACCACGGGCCCACGCGCACCGTGGAGATCATCAACGTGGAGGACGAGCTGCCCGCCGCCTCCGCCGTGTCGGTGGCCGCGGCCGCGGCGGTGGCCGGAGGCGCGGGCGTGGGTGGGGACAGCCACCTGGCCCTGCCGGCGCTGGAACGAGACCACCTCAACCACCACCACTACGTGGCGGCCGCCTTCAAGGCGCACTACGGCGGCAACCCGGGAGGCGGGTGCGGGGCCAAGGGCCCCGGCCTCAACTCCATCCACGAACCTCTGCTCTTCAAGAGCGGCTCCAAGGAAAACGTGCAAGAGACACAAATCTAAGCCCGGGCGCGCGGGGCCGCGGGCCTGCGGCGCTCCCGCCTGCCGCCCGGGGCGCGCCCCAGCCGTCCTGCCCCGGGGCGGGACCGGAGAGCCGCAGAGGCGGCCCCGCCCTCCGCCCGGCCTCGGCCCACCTGCCCTGCCCGCCGCCTCCCGGGGAGAGGAGCCTCTTCGGGGGACTCTCTCCCCTCGTCCCCACAACCCACCTTTTAGGGCTCTTCCTTTTTTCTTTCTTTTTTTGCAGTTTGACGCCCGTCCTCTCCTCTACACCCCTCCACCCTCAAAACACAAGAGACAGACAACTTCACCAGAGCCCGGGGGACAGCGTCCCCGGCAGCGAGCTCCCCTCGCGGCCCTGGCCGGCCTACCCGCCCCACAGACTCTTTTGATACTGAAGGGAGGTTTGCGTCACTCACTACCTGCTCTGTAATTACTTTAAAAAAAAAAAAAAAAAAAACATGGAAAAAGTTTAAAAAAAATTTTTTTTTTGGTCATTAAAGTATTGAAGACAAACAGAGCACAAAGCCACTGTGGGTGGGACCAGAGAGGGTGGACAGCCATCCATTCAGGAGGGGAGAGTGGGCACCCCAAATTTACAGCTCTGGGACTCCTCACCCCGAAGCTGCCAGAGAAACAGGCTCACGCAGCATACGGCAGCACTGTCAACGTCTTCCCAGCTGCCTTTCCAGGAGTGTGCTTGGGCTCCACCGCTTGTGGGATATTGGGGTTCTGAGGGATAGAAATCCAAGATCACAGCGCTTCCGGAGCTGGGCTCCCCCCGAGGGTCCAGCAGCCTTTCCTGGTTGCGGCGGCCATCCATACCACATCCCCAGGGGAGGGGTACCGCCATGCTTCTTCGGGGCTCACACGGCAGCAGACCCTCTCCTGACCTGACCATCTTCACACACAGCTGTCCAGGAAGGCCACCACTGATGGTCTGAAGGTCAAGGCAACCACAGAACTTCCCGGGTCGTGTCCCCACAGGAGAGTCCCCTCCACTTCGCACACATCTCTGGCTACCTAGGAGACAGTTTGTACAGGGAGGTGCACATAGAATAAAGTCTGGACCCCAGGAGGAACGTTGTAAATGGACCGGGAGGGCGGAGTCACCCGCAGACTCTGCAATTCCGGGGGAAAATGTGCAGCCAGGCCAGGACTGGGCCGTGCTGGCGTCGGAACATCAGAGTGGCCCACGTGTCCATGGTTCAGGAAATCTGAGAAGGCCTAGGCAGGCAGAGAGGTAGCCAGAGCCAGACGTACAGCTCACAGACACCTGGGATGGGTTAATGCAGCGTGTCCTGCCTTCCATACATAGCATATCTAGACCCTGTGTAGACACTGAAGGCCCAGGGTGCCTGCCTCTACCAGAGGTGGGAGAGCAGGAAGCTCACACACCCACACACACACACACACACACACACACCCCACACACACACACTCCTTGCACTTTGTGTGCCTGCCCCTTCCCCTTGTCCCCACCTCTTCCCGGTGTTTTTACACCTCCCCCCCCCCCCCCCCCCCCCCCTCTCTTCTCTCCGATTCCAGCGCTAAATGGATTCTTTGTCTGTGACAACTGTCAGGTGTCTGGCCCTATCTCCCTCCCCGCCGGGCTCCTCGGAGCTGATGGGCTCTGGGACAGAGCTGCTGCGCATGCACTGTAGCGTCTCTCTCCATCTTTCCTGCTCTCTCTGCAACCATCTCGGCTATGATCCTGGTTACCATGACAACATTGCGGCTGTACCAGGTGGCAATGGGGGCAGGGAGCTGGCCTGCTGCAGCCTGCCACGGCCCATGCCAGGCCTGCTAGGCAGTGGCTGGGCTCATCCTGGGGGCACTTAAAGATTCCCCCAGCCATGTAGGTCCCTTGTTGATGGATGGAATAGGAGGCAGGAGAGGGGGCAGGGGACCAGTGGCCTCCAGGTGGGATGAATGGTGGACAGTTAAGGTGAGTTCAAGGGCAATGAGGCACTGGAGTGAGGGAGGGGATTTCGGCCAGGACTGAGGAGCATGGAGGCCTGGGAAAGACAGGACCCTGGTGGAGCATGCAGGAACACAGGACACTCCAGCCAGACCTTTCCACTCGGACCTTCGGGGGGAAAGTGGACACCATGAGGTCTGCAAGGGGCCCGTCCCCAGGTCTTCCACTAGCCAAAGAAAACTGCAGTTCCCATGACAACCTGCTGGCCAGCCTGAGGAGGGGCCTGCAAAGGGAATTTTCAACTTCAGCAGAGATGGAAGGATGTCGGCTGCACAGGAGGCAGTGGGGTAGTGGGCACACAGGGCCACACAAGGCCTAGCTCCCAAGCCACCGTGCCAGCCAGCCCAGGAGGGCGGAGGGCTTGAAAAGGAACACCCCCCCCATCCTGCTCCCTCCCTCTGGCTCCAGTAGAGGGTCAAGGGTGAAACTCCAAAGATCATTCACTTCCCAGGCCTAGTACAGGGGCCAGTGAGCACAGGAGGTCCCCACAGCAAGACACCATCCTAAAAGCCATGGCCACCAGTATGGTCCCTGGAGTCCCTCAGAAGGTGGGGGTAGTGGGCTATGGCCGCCTGGGTGAGTAAGAACTAGCCTGGAGTCTCCGTCCTCTGCCCCGTTCCTAAAGTTCCAGAAATATCTCTGCTCCCACGTATCTTTCACCCCCGTCTGCCAGCCCAGCCTGCCTTCTGCCCACACACCGGGACTCTCTGTCTCTCTGTGTCTGTATGTCCTTCTGTCTCTGTCTCTGTCTCTGTCTCTCTCTCTTGACCCTGCCTTCTGTCTTTCCTCTCAATCTCATCTCTCTCTCTGTCTGGGCCTTTGTCTCCGTCTCTAAGTCTCTGTCCCTCTTTCTGTGGGTCTCTGTCTCTCCTTCTGAGTTTCTGACTATGCATTCTCTCTCTCTCTTCTCTTTCTGTGTGTGTGTGTGTCTGAGTCTCTGTCTCTCCTCTCTGGGTTTCTGGCTATGTATTCTCTCTCCTCTCTCTCTCCTGTGGTGTGTGTGTGTGTGTGTGTGTCTGGGTCTCTGCCTCTCCTCTCTGGGTTTCTGACTATGCATTCTCTCTAAAATATCTCTCTCTCTCTCTGTGTGTGTGTGTGTGTATGTGTGTGTGTGTGTGTGTGTTTCTGTGTCTCTGTTTCTCCTTCTCTCTGGGTTTCTGGCTATATATTCTGTCTCTTTCTGGGTCTCTGTTCTCCTTCCCCCTCCATCTCTGAGTTAGGGGTCTCTGTACTTTCCTTGGATCTCCAGCCCTCCCCCTCTCTGCAGGACAATCCCTTGTGTCCCGCCTTCTGGCTCAGGGATCAGAACTGGGCCTAGAACTTGTCTTTGTGTGGAACCGTGACCCTGGACGAATGGCAGGGAGCGTGCCTCCTGCCTTGCAGCTCCAAGACCTCATTGCCCTTGAGGAAAGGTCAGTACCCCACAGCAGGAGCCTTCCCAAAGCTGCTTCCTGCCTCTGTCAGACAATCCTTTGACCCCTCTGAGTCTCAGTGCACGTAACAATAAACTAGAACTCACCCACCATACTGTTTCCCTCCAAGCCAGGGTAAGGAGTGATATCCCTCCAAACCGTGAGGCACCTGGGAGACAGGAGACCTGATTCTTCTCTAAGGCCTGCCTCTATGTCTCCCTCTCCCAGGCACCCTGACATTGTGGTAGAAGTGGCCCATCCAAAACTAATCCAGAAATACGGGGTACAAATCCTGCGCCATGCTAACCTCCTGGTGAGCCCCCAGCCCTCACTGAGTCCCTCTTTGTGCTGGGTACATCCCAGCCTACCGCAGTGATCTGTGTCTTGGCTTGCCTCTCTCTACCATCCATCTCCCAAGGTGGGATCCCCCTCAGCTCTGGCTGACCAGACCACAGAGCAGCAGCTCCTGGAAGCTTCAAACCACTGGGGTCACACTGTGTTTGTGGCCCGAGGGGCCCTGTGGGGGACTGAAGACATCAGCAGATTGGATGCAGCCGGGGGCCTCCAGGTGAGAACCATCTGGGCTGCAATCAGAGGCCACATGTAAGAGTCTCGGCCTCCTGACCCTGCCATTGCTTCCAGAGCCTTCGAGTCACTATGGCCACACACCCTGATGGCTTCCGGCTGGAGGGGCGTCTGGCTGCAGCGCAGAGCAGCGGGGCCCGCACAGTGCTCTATGAGGGCCCTGTGCGTGGGCTCTGCCCTTTGGCCCCCCGAAATTCTAACACTATGGCAGCCGCTGCCCTGGCTGCCCCCAGTCTGGGCTTCGACCGTGTCATTGCGGTGCTTGTGGCTGACCTTAGGTGAGCAAAGGGGGTAGGTGGCCCATCTGTGTACACGCTGGATGGGCTGACTGCCCTTCTCTGCAGCCTCACTGACATGCATGTCGTGGACGTGGAGCTGACCGGCCCCCCAGGGCCGACAGGCCGCAGCTTCGCCGTGCACACCCACAGAGAGAACCCAGCCCAGCCTGGCGCTGTCACCGGTTCTGCCACTGTTACAGCCTTCTGGCACAGCCTCCTGGGTGCGGTCAGACCCTTCCAAGGGTCCCCTGGCATTTGTGCTCTGCAGAGCTCCGTTTTCGGTCTTTGCCCATCCTTGGTTCTCACTCCTGGGCTTTAGGTTCCTCTCTTTCCCGTCCCCCTTTCTCTCAGCATCTCTGTCTCATCTAGGCCTCGCCATCCACACCCCACATTTCTTTCTGAGTATACCTCTTTGGGTTGGTCCACACTACCATTTTCAAAGCCCACGTTCGGTTCCCCACGGCTGTCTGCATATGTCTGTATTGTCACCCTAGTCTTTCATTCTCCCCACAGGCTGCTGCCAGCTCCCCTCCAGACCTGGGATCCGCCTCTGCTGACAGTCTCCTTCCCCACTACCCTTGCTGTCACCTCAATCACTATGTGGCTCAGTAAACACCAAAATTTTGTCCGCTGTTCTCTTTGGCCTCTTTGGTTTCTTGTGTCCCACTTCTATGACGTCACGCTTCAGCTATACACTGTGCATGACGCCATATCAGAGAGCGCGTGAGCACATACGAAACTAACTTCCTGGAAGCTATCGCGAGATCCAAAGTTACTACATTTCCCAGAAACCTCTAAACAGCAGTGAGCCCTGGGAAAGCACGCGAATTGGCTGCGTGGCGCGACGGGAACTGTAGTCCCGCCTGACAGCGCCCCCGGAGGACTTCCGGGCTGTGAGTCCGATTTAGGCGTCCCGCGGAGGCCTTCGGGAATCGCAGTCCCGCCCGCGCGAGTCTCCGGGAACTGTAGTCCGTCCCGCTGCCCAGTCAGCGTGGTACCACCCTGTCGCTGTCTAGGGAATGCGAAAGCAGCCGGTCCCGGGGAACGGAGAGGCCGGCGTGGTGAGGGCCAGGCGAGAGCCATGCGGAGGCGGGTGGGAGCATGCCTGGTTGCCAGGTGACAGGAAGAGGGGCTCCTGTTGCTTAGTGATTGGGAGAGGGCCTTGTTGCCAGGTGACGGGAAGAGAGAACCCAGGTTATTGATGAGAGGAAGTCTTCCGTTGCTAGGCGACCAGAAGAGACCCCGTTACCCAGAGACGGGGAAAGAGGAGTCCTCCATTGCTAGGTGATCAGGAAACGGACCGGGTTGCCAAGGGGTGGAGTGTGCTCTGTTGCTTGGGAACCAAAAAGGTATTGTTTCCTAGGGAGAGAAGTAGCTATAGTCCGTTGCTAGGTGACGATGATAGGACCCTTTTGCTCAGAGGCATGTAGTGGGGGTGGGTCCCTATTGCCAGGTGAGCAGGAAAGAGCCTTTTCCCTCTAGGATTGGGCCCTGAAGGTGCCTCTGTGCTCCGGAGACAGGCTAGGAAACCAGGGCCTCACATCCTCCTAAGCTGGCCCCAGTGCCCATCTCAATGGTCCTTGCCCAGGAACACAGGAATCTAGAGACCTGGATGGCCAAGTCCTGGTGCCTAACACCTTCTCCTTGTCCCATCCCCAGCAGGAGCCGAGGAGGGCATGTCTCAGGCACCGGAAGCTCGGCCAAGCCCACCCTCAGTGTATCATGAGCGGCAGCGACTAGAGCTGTGCGCCGTCCACGCTCTCAACAACGTCCTCCAAAAGCAACACTTTAGCCAGGAGGCTGCCGACGAAATCTGTAAGAGGTGACTGCCATTGACCCTGGCCCTGGAAGAGTAGGGCTCAGAGAGGCATGGGAGCCTGCCTGGGCCCCTATCGAGGCCAGGGCTCGGATCCAGGAGCTGTTGCCTGCGCGTCCACCTGTTGCTTCTCACCTCAGCGCCAGCTTTGGCCTCAACCTCTCTTATCTGAGCCTTCGTCACAGCCTGCCAGCTGTCTGTTTTTCTCCTCCTGTCCATCCTACACCCAGCTGCATAGCTGCCTTTCCTGTCCTCCATCTCCCCCTCTCCCCTCCATCCCTCTTTGGTTCCCCAGCACTTTTAGGGAGTAGCCCAGGGTCCTTCAACTTGAAGTCAAGGCCTTGGTTGTTCTGGACCTTGCCTACCTTTCTGCAGCTCCGTCCTTCACTCCTCTCCTTGGCCCCAAATGGCCCAGCTTTGGTACCCCTGAGCTTTTGCATAGGCTGTTTTTGTTTTGTTTTTATCACCTGGGTGCCCCTCACAATTTCAGCATCGCTTTCTTAAGAAACACTCTCCGTATTCCCACCTCTAGGCCCCACAGTCCTTCCACAGACACGAGGACACTCAGGCCTGTAGTCCATGCCCACACCCAAAGGAAGCCCTTATCTCCTCTCACTGCTGTTCACCAGCGTCCTCAAACTTCAGATTACTTTAGAAGATATTCACTCTCCTGCCACCAGCTCTTTCGTGTCAGGGGCATGCTGAACAGCTAGAACATGTCCTCCTAAGCTGGCCCCAGTGCCCATCTCAATGGTTTTGCCCAGAAACACAGTAATCTGGAGACCCGGATGACCAAGTCCTGGCTGTCTGACACCTTCTGAGGCTAATGTAATGGGAAGGAGAAGGCTGGGGAAGCAAGAGAACAAACACGAGCAGTTCCCTCCCTGACACTGCTCTCCAAGCCCTCCCCAGCCCTACAGGGGAGCAGGGCCACAGGACTGGGGAGAGATAGAGGGAAGCCTTGGGCACAAGGGACAGCTGGGGCTGGGTGGCTGGTGAGAGCTGGTGCTGAGGCTATGCGAGGCCCACTTGCTACTGGAGGAGTTGGGAGTCTGTTCTGGGATGGCGGGGCAGGGCTGCGAGAGGGTAGGGCAGGGTATTATGTAAAGAAAGAGGCACTCTGTGTTCAAATGTGGTGGCCAGAGTCTCACTGTCACCCAGGGGCCTCAGCCCAGTCTGGGGATCTGAAGCCTCCTCTCCCAGAAGAAATGACATCCGAGGCTGGCCTAGAAAGAGGCCGTGATGAGAGGGACTGATGGAAGGGCAGGGATTTTGTCCAGGACACTTGGGAGACACAGGAGAAGTGGGAGTAGGAGAAGGGCAGAGCAGCTGAGCAGGAGAAGGGCTTGTGGAGGTTGGAGGTGGGGTGTGCATGTCAGGGCTTCTGGAAGTCACAGGTAGGCTGGAGGAAGAAATAGAGACTGGGAAGGGTTTTTGTGTGGAAAGACAAAAGCCTTACCCAGGCCAAAGGTGAAGGGGTCAGGGGTGGGAGAAAGAACAGGACTTGGGGCCTGATAAGCTGTGTAGGGGTTAAAAAGATAAGAGTCAAACACCAGGCTCTAGGCCTCTCTTGTTGTGTGGGAAGGTAGAGCCCTTTCCAGGATTCCAAACCTTGGCTCTCCCCTCTCACCGCAGGCTAGCCCCAGATTCCCGGCTGAACCCCCATCGCAGCCTCCTGGGTACTGGCAACTATGATGTCAACGTGATCATGGCTGCCCTGCAGGGCCTGGGCCTGGCCGCCGTGTGGTGGGACAGGAGGAGGTAGGGTCTAGACTGTGGGCTGCACTGGCTCTGGGCATGTGGGATGATGCAGAGGGTGGCTTGAAGGTAGATAGGGGAGGTTTTTGCCAGGGAGCTGTGGTGGATGCAGTCTGACTGAATGGCTGGTTAAACTGATAAACTTGGTACCAGACAAAGAGGTATCCAAATGAGTGACTCATTGGTGGGGAAAGATGGAAGTTAGGTCAAGATCAGTGGGACCATCCTATTGGCCCAAAGCAGGACTGAGCCGGAAGCCAGCCTGAGCTGCATATGGAAATCCTAACTCAAAAAGGTAAACAACAGAAAGTTGAGGGTCTGGGGCTCCACTGACAGAAGGTTTACCTAGCACCTGTGAGGCCAGGATTCCCTCCCCAGAACTCCATAAACTGCTGTAATGGTGCACATCTGGGAGCCCTGAGTCCCACCCTAAACAAACCAAAGCTGGAGTGGACAGACAGAGGGTAATGGGTCAGTGGGTGGCGGTCATTCTGGGAAATGCAGTTCTGGGGGAGCAGGATCCAGGTGTGTCTGAGGGCCACAGCCAGTGGCTGGGGCCTCATGCTATATCCCTCCGCTCCCCAGACCCCTGTCCCAGCTGGCCCTGCCTCAGGTGCTAGGCCTGATCCTGAACCTACCCTCTCCTGTGTCTCTGGGGCTGCTGTCCCTGCCACTGCGTCGCCGGCACTGGGTAGCCCTGCGCCAGGTGGATGGCATCTACTATAATTTGGACTCAAAGCTGCGGGCACCTGAAGCCCTGGGGGGCGAGGATGGTGTCAGGTGAGTGGTGAGGGAAGTGACAAGTTGGGGCCAACACTGGAACTGCCCTGCAAGGAGATGGGCCTGCCTAGACCGCTTGGACCTCAGTCTCCCCACATTTCCCTTCAGGGCCTTCCTGGCAGCTGCCCTGGCCCAAGGCCTGTGTGAGGTGCTATTGGTGGTGACCAAGGAGGTGGAGGAGACCGGCTGCTGGCTGCACACAAGCTGACCCACTGCCTGTGAAGGGCTGATGCTGTTACACTCCCGAGTGTCCAGTGCCTGGAAGGGGCCTGCAGCTCCAGGCCCCGGAGGTCTGCCTCCCGCCCTAAGGGCCCCGCTTTCCCCACCACTGCTGCCTCAATAAATCTGCTCTTTTGCTATCGGTGCCTGAGCTCAGCTCCCGGGGACTACTCTTGGTTACAGGCCCACAGGGACACACACCAGAGACTTCCCAAAATCAGTAGGGAAACCTAAGCTGGAGCAGGGGTCACTCCACTTTAAGGTTTAGACCATCAGTGAGGAGCAGACAGAACAGTGACCCCCAAAGATGATCGGGTCCAGCACCTGTGGCCAGGGACCTTGACCTCCCAGGTGCAGGGAGAGCTGGGGAGCAGTACTGGCTGGAATCAGCTTCCCTCAGGAACAACTGAATTTGGTGGGTGGCTTGGTGAAGTCACAGGGTCCTTAGAAGCAGGAGGCCCAGCCCAGTGGAGCCCATTCCAGACTTCTGATCCCCACAGGGACAGAGCCAGAGTGAGGTATCTAAAGCTGTGGCAAGGGTTTGGGGGCTCCTCACAGCAACCTCAGAAAAGCGCCACTGTGACTCATTTTCTCAGGGTGTGCTGGGCCCCCTGAGTAAGGCCAGTTGGGCTCAGCCTTGAAGGCGGTCGCGGGGCTGTTGGAGAAACCGTCTCCCAGGGAGCAGACGAGCAGCTGACGCAGGGGAGTGTCCCCATCACAGTCACCCAGGCCAGCCTTGCTCAGGGGGCTGTGAAACCTGAGGGGCTCCAAATGTGGAGCTTGCTGATATGCCCCGAGTGCTGCGGCCCTGCTGTCATCACCACAGCTATTTGGGGAGGTGTTGATAGACAGGCCTATCTGGGACAGAGTGGAAGAGGACAGGAGCCAGGAAGAGGGCCCAGATAGGAACCCTGAAGAGGAGTAATTGGCACCAGAGTTGCAGAGAAGGGAAGGACACAGCCAGCATCTAACCCAGAGCCCCAGGGCCTGTAGGAAACAAGTGGGAGATTGTCCTCAGATGATGGGCCGGGCTTGGGCAGCAGGGACGCATGAGACTGATCCAGGGATTATGGGTGAGGAGGGGCCCAGCTTGGGGAATGACACCCCACCTTGGCTGGGATCTACCCTGGTAATTAATTCATCTGGGGACGCAGGCCACACCTTGGAACCACGCTAGTAAAAGGCAGTTCAGGGTGCTGCTGTCTGGGCCCCAAAATCTCTGAGGTCAAGTTGTAAAGTAAAAACCAAGGCAGCATGTAGAGGGCACATACAGGGCTGCCAGAACATCCAGCCTGGCACTCGGCCTTCCTCTGCCTCTTAGTTCCTCCAGGGTCTCCTCTCTCTTTCTGTCTGTCCTCCTCCACATGTGCCCAAAGTAACCCATTCTCTAACCCTCCCCTGGGTGTATGCCCCCCCCCCCCGAAAAACAGTCTCTGTGTAGTCTAGGCTGATCTCAAACTTGCCACAGTCCACCTGCCTCCGCCACCCAAGTGCTGGAATTACCGGTGTGTGCCACCTCCCCTTCTCTTTCCATGGCTCTGAAGTCCCTGTGGTCTCTGACCTTCTCTGTGCCTCCCTCCCTCCCTCCATCCATCCTGTCTGTCCCCCACCCCTGCCCCACCTGTCGCCTGTCCAGTCTGGGGCAGAGGACAGCTGGCAGGACTCCCTGAGTGTTTCTATTCTTGGCCTGAGTGGTGCAGCCCGTGACATCCCAGGTGCCCCCTCCACTGTGACCAAATAAGGTACCAAGTGAGGAGCCTGCGGAGGGCAGGCCTGCACAGATTCAGTCCCTCCTGTTTGCTCTCAGTGCTGATTTTGTGCGCCCACTGACACCCTACTTCTGAGGAGAGCACCCTTTGCCCCAACATGCCTGACCTGGAAGCTAGGGTTCACGAGTGTTCCCTGATGAGGATACGAGGCTCCATGCCGGCCCCCAGGAATCCGGTGCACAGGCCATGGAAGGGGAGGTTGGTGGCACGTCCGCCTGTGCAGCTGTTGCTGGCTGCGCTGACAGCTGCGGCTCGATTTAGCTGCAGGCCAGGGTCTGGCCAGATAAGGTGTGGATAAGAACAGGGCCCGCCCCTAGGGGGCCCCTTAAATTGCAGGGTTTGGGCTGGGGTTGGGGGCGCAGACACCAAGGCCAGGTGAGAGGGTCCTGCTGCGCTGGGGCCTGCAAGGTGCTCAGTGTTTCTCCACCTGTCTGCTTGCCTATCCTGACTGGGCTCCTACCTTCCACAGCCTCCGTCCTCCCCTTCTGTGCCTCCCTCCATCTCTTCCTCTCTCCCTTTCTCTTCCTCTCTCTTTTCCTCCCTCTCTTCCTCTCTCTCTGTGTCTCTCTCTGTCTCTCTATATCTGTCTCCCTCTGCCTCTTTTTATCTTTCTGTTTCTGTCTCTCTATCTGCCTCTCCAATTTTCATCCCCCTTCATCTCTCTTCCTCTCTCCACCTAGTTTTTCCTCTATCTCTGATGTTCCCTGTATGTGTCTGTCTCTCTCTTGACCTGATTTTCCTCCTCTCTATTTCTTTCCATGTCTGTCTTTGTCTCTCTCTTGTCTCTGCCTTTCTCTGTCCTTCCTTTCTCTCTCTCTCTGCCTGCTATTTCCCCACCCCTTCCTTCCCAGCTCCTGTTTTAGGGTCTCTCTTCCACAGTCTCTGCTCTCCGCGGGGGCCAGAGCCCTGTGTTCTCTCCTGAATAAAGCTGGTTCTGTCCAGACTCCCCCTTCTCTGCCTCCGTCTTTCCTTCCTCCTCTGCCCCCACCCCCACCCACCCCTGATCCCGCCTGAGGGGCTCAGGACTATCGGCAGGGGCAACCCCTCCTGCCCCATACAACAGGACAGAGGGGTGACGAATAGGTACTCAAGACCAGAGAGTCAGGGAGGACAGTCAGCCCAGAAAAGGGACAGCAGGTCACAGGATGCAGAGGCCAGGCAGCATCCCACTCCCAGCAAAGCAGGCTCCCCTCCCCCTCGGGCCAGGCTGTGCCAGCGCCAGGACAATGCACCCTTGTCTCTTGTCCTGACAGCTGGGGGATCCTGCCTCCGTCTCTTTCAGGGGGGGCAGTGGCTTTCTGTTCTGCCCCAGGCAGGGGAGTGACCCTGGGGATCAGGCCTGGGGCAGCTAACATCTCCGGCCTCCTGTCCCTGCCTGAGTCCAGGGTCCTTCCATTCTGGTCACCCTGGTGTCTGGCCACCCCTTCTACCTGATGCCTCTGGACTTCCTGTCCTAGCTCTGCTATCCCCTCCATATGTCCTTCTTCCCGTTCTGTTTTGCCTGGCCTCTCCCCGCTAGGAGTCTTGTGAGCGCCTGCTGTGTGTGGAGTCCTGACTCCAGACACCTTTTCCCTCTTGCACACCCCCTCCGCAAGCTTCTTCCTTGCCTCCTCCTCTTTCTGCCCTCCTGGGAGAAGGAGTGGACACACCGTGAGCCCCTCCTGTGTAACAGACACTTCACTCACCTCTTATCTCTTCACACCCTCTTCTCCTGCTCCCCCTCTTTTTTCCTCTCACTGTTTTCTCCACTCTATTCCAAGACAAAGAACACATTGAACATTGAACAGAGTTCTGGTCTGCACTCTCTATAGTCCTCCATTCTTCCCTGACAACGGTCTCTGCCAGTCTCTGCCTGCTTCTCTCTGTCTGGGGAATATGGGCATTTATTGGGCACCAGCTGTGTGCTAAAGTTTTTATAAACACTTCCTTCTCTTCCCCTTCCTCCCTTCCGTCCTTCGCTTCCTACTGGCTCTCCCCCACCCCCGACCCCAGAAAAGGGCAGGAATGCTAATTGAGCGCTGACTGTGCCAAACAATCCACACCTATGCCTCTCTTGGCTCTCTATCTCCTCCTCTACAGAGGAAATGGCAACTATTTCAGGCAGAGGGGTGAGGTGCCCTTTGGGAGCACTGCTGGGGTAAAGATGGGCCAACGTGCTTCAGTGCTAAGGCTGGGACCAGCACTCACCTCCAGGAATGGATGAGGAAAAAGGCTGATGGAAAGAGGGTGTGCCCCTACAGCTAGCCTGGGTTCCCGTTATCTTCTCCCCACCCCCACCCAACACGATCCTCACGCTGCCCCTATCACGCGCTATTCAAGCCCCTCACTTACAGTGCAGCACCGGATGCTGGCTACTCCTGACAACACTGACTCAAACCTTGCAGTCTCCTCCCAGGCCAGCCAGCGGTTTCCCCCTCTCCTCCTCATTTACCTGTTCTCCATTTACCTCTTCTTCCATTTCTTCCTCCTCTCCCTTTCTCCTCCTTTTCCTCCTCCAATTTCCTTTCTTCTTCTTCTCCATCTCTTTCTCTTCCTCTCCATTTCCTTCTCCTGTGCCTCCATCTCCTGTCCTTCCTCTTCCTCCTCCATCTCCTCTGCCTCCTTTTCTCCCCTAATTCTCTTTCTTCTTTCTCCTTGCCCTCCTCCTCTTCCTCTGTCTCTTTTTATTCTTTTGTTCCTCCTTTCCTCCAACTTCTCTTCCTGCATCTCTTCTTCCTCCTCTATCTCTTCCTTGCCTTTCTCCTCTCCCTCTTCTCTTCTTCTCTCCCCTTCTCTTCTCTTTCTTCTTTTCTTTCTGTTTTCTCCTGCCCTTTCCTTTCTTCTTTCTCCTGATGTTTCTCCTACTTCTTTTCCTCCTTCAGCTCTTCTTCCAGCTCCTCCAGCACCTTCTCCTTCATCTACTTTTCCTTCTCTTCATCCTCCATTTCTTTCCATCTCCTCCACCTCTTTCTTCTTCTCCTGATGATCCTCATCCCTTGTTCTCTAATTCTTCCATTGCCTCCTTCTCTTCCCTCTCTTCTTTCTCAGTGCCATCCCCCTCTTCCTACATCTCCTCCATTTCCTTCACCTCCATCTCTACCTCTTCTTTCTCTGCCCCTTTCTCTTCTCCTTTCCTCCTTTTTCTCATTATCTTTTATCTCCTCCATCTTCCCTAATTTCCCATCCATTTCCTTCTACTAATCTTCCAAATCTTCCTCTTCATTCATTTCCTCTACTAGCTCTTCATCCTTCCCATCTCTTCTTCCTTTTCTACCTCCTCCTCTTCCTAGTCTTCCTCCTGTATCTCCTCTGATTCTCTATCATCTCCATCTCCTTTTCCTTCTTCTGTTTATCCTCCACTATCACCTCCTTTTCTTCCTGATCCTCCTCCT